ACTCACTGGTCGCAGGCCCCTGCTGCAGGCTGCCCAGGATCTTCTCCCCCAGCAGGTGGATCAGCCGGGTCACGACCTGGCGGAGAGCAGACCCCAAACCACACCTTTCAGCCAACAGGCCACGTCCCTGGGTCCGTGTTTCCCAAGGCGCCAGGCTGGACGCGCCAGGCCACGGGTGACGGGGAGCATGAGAAGAGCTCATGTCACCGCTCGGTCCCTCTGCCCAGCGTCTCCCTGTGTCCGTGCCCGCCCGTCAGTCACTCCGGGAGGCTGCTCCTGGGTCCCCCAGGGGAGCCCGGGCCTGGGATGGCAGGGGCTGCCACACGGACCAGCAGCCTCCGCGCTGCACTCCCCTGCGGGCAGAGCTTCCGGCTGACCTGACTTGTAAGAACTCTGCGGTGCACACGCACACACGTGTACATACGTGTATTTACTCCTCACCCACAGGTATTCTCTCCACTGATTGTTAGGGAGAGTGGGAGAGAGAGGGAAAGACAGACGGAAACATCGACGTGAGAGAAACATGTCAATGGGTGCCTCCTGCACGCACCCCGACCAGGGCCCAGGCCAGGAGGAGCCTGCAAGCAAGGTGGGTGCCCTTGACTGGAATCGAACCCGGGACCCTGCAGGCCACAGGCTGACGCTCTAGCCACTGGGCCACCCCGGCCGGGGCAGGACGCTGCGATTTAGCGGGGCTGCTCCACTCCCATCTCCCTGGCGGGAAGGACGGAAACGCCGATCCAACCCACACGACCTGCCAGTCTCTCTTCTAAACACTCAGCTGCCGCGTCAGTTTTCTAGTAAAAAAGGCACATTATCTGCAAACATTACTTTACCCCTTTTCCAAACGCGCCCGCAGTCTCAGCTGTTGAACTGTTTAGCTGGCGCTGTGTCTGGAAGCAGCAGCCTCCCAGGTGTAAAAGGTTTCATTCAGGGTGCATATTAGGATCAGCTGGACCTGTTCAGACACCTGCCCCTGGCTGCCCTGCTCCGGCTCAGACCCTCACCTGCGGGTACCTGCGCTTGATGGACGTCAGGGCTCCTGCCGGCAGCTTGGCGAGCTCCGAGTCCCGGACGGCGTGCACCGTGGTCGCTCGGGGCTGGCGGGTGAGCGTCTCCACCTGAGAGAGAGGAGCGGGGTCCCAGGACAGAGGGCAGAGCGCGGGGCGGCGCTTCCTGCACGTGGGATCGGGTGAGGACGGGAGCAAAGGCGCTCACCAGCTGTGCCGGGGAGGGCGCCTCAGCCAGGCCCCTGTTGGCACCAGGAAAAGGCCAGGCGGCTGCCCCCAAAGGTCTGGAGACCTTTGACCCTGGGATTCCACCGGTGCCACCGCCCGGCTGGGAGCGGGCACACCCGCCCCCGAAAATGGAAAACCACGGGGCGCACGCCCTCCTGATGCCACAGTGAGGGCTCCTCCCCGCACCCAGGGCAGCACCAGTGGGACCGCACCTACCACACCGATGAGGTCTCCGCGGCCGTACTCCCCGGCCAGGCGCTTCTTGAGGTCGTCCTTGCGGATCACGGAGCGCAGCCGGCCGCTGAGCACGATGTAGGTGCAGTCCGACTTGTCCCCCTGCCTGCAGGGACGGGCGCTGGAGCGGGCAGGGCACCGGCCAGGAGCCCGCGCACCCCACACAGCAAAGGAAGAAGAGCCTTCTCACTGAGGCCTTTTGTTTGGGGAAACAGTTGTTTTCCGTGACAGACTACGTGCGCCAGCACGTGACAGGTCTACGGCGACACTTCAGCCAGTGAGTGTCCTAAGCGTCCTTAGTTCTGATTGACAGCTGCCGAAACGTGGGCGCTGTGACCAGTCTGCACTCAGCCCTCCCTCGGCCGAGGAGCCGGAGGAAGGGG